GTCCTGGGATTGGGCAGAGGTTGGGGACACAGGGTCCTAGGGTCAGGGAAGAGATGGGGGACACAGGGTCCTGGGATTGGGCAGAGGTTGGGGACACAGGGTCCTAGGGTCAGGGAAGAGATGGGGGACACCGGGTCCTGGGATTGGGCAGAGGTCGGGGACACAGGGTCCTAGGGTCAGGGAAGAGATGGGGGACACAGGGTCCTGGGGTCTGGGTTATGCTTCAGAACTTTGGGGCAAGGCTCAGAGCCACACAGAGGCCCAGCCTCAGAGGTCCTGGGGGCGGGGATGGGGCGGGGCTCCAATGATTGTCCGCCCTCGGCTTCCTTTTCCTCTTGAGCCCACAGTCCCGGGAGGCTTCAGCCTGACGCCGGCCAGCACTTCACAACAGGGGCTTTCCATTCCAAGTCCTGACGTGGGGGCGCCGTGGGGGGCAATGCCCGGTGGACCTTGGCACAGTAAGCGTCCCTAACGGGTGTCTGGACACAGCCCTGCGCCCACTGCCCTCTTCCGGCGTGGCCAAGCATGGGTGCTGGTGGCATAGACACTCAGGCTGCCAGACTCGGGGACAACAGCGTCCCTGGCCCCTCAGGCTCAGGGCAGGGCGCACACAGTCTAGGATTCCCAGAGAAGACTCGGGTGGGCGAGGTGCCGGCTGGAACCCTGGCCTGGGGTCTGCGCTGGGCGTGGGGGTGGCAGCAGCTATGGGTTCCTGGTCTCAGCCATGAGGACAGTGGTGTGAGTGGGTGCCCCAGGCCATGGGCCTGGGTGGGAAGGGTCAGCAGGGGGCTGTCGGGGAGCGAGGAGGTCGGTCCTGCCGTCACCCCCATGTCACCCACAGGTGCGCCCGCGTGGGGATGGTTTTGGTCAGGAGAGCAGGCTGGCCGGCCCACAGCAGTAACAGTGGACGCCGGAGGGGACCCTCTGCCTGCCGCAGCCCCCCCCCCCCGCCTCTGAGTTTCACAGTTCCTGCTTCCCTCGCTGGCTCAGAGCCCCCAAGAGACTGCTGCCAGATGTTCCTGGCGGCCCCACGTCGCCTCCCTAATGAAATATTCATGGGGCCTTTCTGCCTCTTGACATAAAGCCTTCCGTAGCTCCACACACCATGGAGATGGGGCCGGCCTCCCAACAAGCCCAGGAAGGAGTGGGCACCCGGCCAGCCCCACCCCCTGTGCCAACCCTGGGTGCCCACTCCCAGTGCGCCAACCCCAGCTGCCCACTGTGCCTCCCGAGACAGAGGCTGGGCCTCCGCCTCCCTTTTGCCCTGCTAAGGGTCAGGGGTCCGGCTGCCTACACCCCCGTCTGCCTCCTGAGAGCCCAGTGCCAGCTGTGTGGGCACATCAGCCCTGGGGCTGAGCTCTGGAGGGAGGACAGCCGCCACCCGGCACAGGAGGGAGCCAGAGCCACCCTCACAGGCCTGGGGAGGACAGGCTCTAACTCTCTCTTCCTTCAGTACCTTGGCGGCCGACAGCTCCCTACCCCATGCCAGCAAGGCTGGGCTCCTGCAGCCCACCTCGCCCCTTGCTGTGTGGCGGCTAGCCTGGCCTGGCCTCGCGCTGACCTGCTGTCATCTGTCCACGCCTCTGTCCATGTACTCATGCACCCGGTGCCGGCAGGGAGCCGGCTCGCACCAGGTCCAGTGCATGGAGACCAGACTTCATGCCCAGCCCTGCGCTCCGGGTGTTCACGCACCCCCAGCCAGGCAGTGAGGGCGGAGGAGCTCGGGCCAGGGCTGGTGAGGCCAAGAAGGACGAGGTGGACAGGTTTCCAGGGGCCTGGGAGCTGTGTGAGGAGTAAAAAGGGGCCCGGCTGCGAGTTCCTCACAGAGGGGACCTTTGTGCCCCAGGTCAAAGGAGAGGGGGTCCGGTCCAGGCCAGCCTTTGCTCAGTCCACAGGCCCTGTCTGGCTCTGCCGGGCCTCCTCACGGCCCTGGGCTGCAGGTGGTGGCCACAGTGAGGCCCCTCTGGGTCAGAGTCTGCCCCACATGGGGTGCCCTCTCTGGGTGGCTAGCCCTGGGCTCCCCTCTGGCTGTGCAGGGCCAGCCTCAGCTGTGAGGAGCCCAGCGGGCTTGCTGGGGGCCGCAGGGTTGCCCTGGCCTCTGGGACTCCCACGCCCTCCTTGCTCCTGGCCTCAGGTCAAGCCTTTGTCTTCAGTGGGCATCTCAACCTTAACTGTCACCTAGAGCGGCAGGGAAAGGGTTACACGACCATTCACAGAGGCACTCAGCCTCCGCATTAGGGGAGAGAGACCTGAAGAGAGACCACGTTGCTTCCCTGAGGCGACCAGCGGGATGGGCCAGAGCCAGGAAGGAGGCTGCCATGTGTGTCCTGGAGCCCACGGCCAGCACAAGCAGCCGGGACCCTCCCGGGAGCCAGCTCCTTGTCCAGGACACCCCAGCTCTCCTGAGCTTACTGACCAGGGATTTGGCCAGTGCCCCTCCCCCATGAGGCCGCCTTGCACCCTGAGCTGCTGGGGGGTAAGAACTCTGCCTGTGGTGTAGAAATAAAGCACATTCCACAGAACAAATGGTGTCAATTTGCAGCAGCGCCGCAGCTCCACCGCAATGAGCGGTTGCACTGGAGAATCGGCGGCCCCGGGCGGCGCGTGGAGGGACAAAGCATCCCAGCCCGGCTCCGGCACCGCGGCCCTTCAGGCGAGAGTCGGCTCCAGGAAGCGAAGGAGCAGCTGCTGGGGCCCCTCTCGCCTCCCGAAGGCTCTTGCCAGAGCAAGCAGTGAGCACCCCAGGTCCCACCTGACTGCCCTGCCTGGCCAGGTGTAGTGGCCTCCAGAACAGCCGCTTCCAGAACAGAGGCCACTGCCTGTCCGGCCCAGCGGCCTTGTCCCATCTCAGCTGCTGTCACCCCACCAGGCCCCCAAAATGTACTCTGGGGCTCACCCCGCCATGAAGCCTGGGGTCTCACTGCTCCTCTCCCAGACGGCCACTTTTCTTCCTTACGTGAGGATCACGCTCCAGGCCTTGCTCCAAGCCCTCCCTGCCCTGGGACATCTACCCGCCTGCCTGGTGACCTCTTCCGGTACCCACTCCTGGGCTGCTCAGAGCTGCTGCTGCCTGTTGATGAGCAGTGTGGGCAGCCCGGAGATTCACCACCTGGACGCTCCGTTTCCTGCCCCGGCTGCTGTCCCCGCAGTGATGAGCACCTGCCCTGCGTGTTAGGACCGAGCTGCACACTGCACCTTACATCCTCACGAGCGGCTCCGGGAGCCCCTGCAGCCAATCAGTTTCACAGCATCATCCATGCGTGTGGCCGTTGGGACTGGCACAGGCCCTCTGGACGCCTTTACCTGGAGACCAGGGCTGTTTTCCCTGGATGGCAGGAAGGCAGCAGGTGGGAGGCAGGGAGGCAGTGCTGGCTCCACGGGTCCTCCTGAGTTGAGGACCAGGCGCTTCCCTGCGTGCGTCTTGCTCCGGCCGTAGGCCCTGGGCTTCTGCTGCTCCTCTGGGGGTACAAGGGCCGTCCTGGAGTTCCATCTTCTCTTGGGAACCTAGAGAGCCCCGTGGCTCCTTCGGAGGTCAGAGGGCAGTGCCGTGCACTCAGAGGCATCTGGGAATGCCTCTGGGGTTTGGATAGATGGACAGATGGGCAAATTAACAGGACGCTGCACTTGGAATCACAAAACTTTAGGCAAGAAAGGGTCATTAGAGAGCATCTAGTCCAATACTCTAACGGGATAGGAGGGAAACTGAGGGAAACTAGTCACAGCCCTTGGCCTAGCCAGGGAGACAGTCCACCGGCTGCTCCTGCATCCCCCACAGCCCAGGTTCACACATCTTCCTCCAGGTCAGGGAGGGCAGGGACAGCCTTTAGGTCCTGAGACCCCAGCCCTACCTGCCTGCCTGCCTGGCAAGGACGCCCCTATCAGGTGGCACAGTAAGGCAACCAGGTTGGGTCTGACACCCACAATCCATCAGCCTGCTGGTCTTTACACATTCTGGGAGAGGCAAGAATCTCTTCCTCTTGGCTATTCTGCTAAGAACACACATTATTTGGAAGTCTTGGGTTTCGTCTAATGTAAATCCCTCAGGCCGTGCGTGACCTAAGCTCTGGCCTCAGAGGTCTGGGCCTCTCCAGCAGTGGGTCTCCGTTTCTGCTTGGATGAGCCTCTGCTTTGGTCTTCATCCCCTCACTGGAAGCCATGGCCATGAGGACATGGGAAGAATATAGGGCTATGAACTTGGCATTTTGGTGTCAGAAGGACCCAGGTTCAAGTTCAGGCTCTGTCACTAGCTAGGGACCTGAGTGTCTTCATCTGTAGACAGAGGAGAGTAACACATATGTCAAAAGAGCTGTGCATATTCAATGTGGTCTTATGTCTAAGCCCTTCCGCATGATGTCTGTCACCAAATCAATGCCCAGAAAATGGCAAGGATTGTTGCAATGATGATGATGGTGGTGATGGTGACGGTGATGGTGGTGATGGTGATGGTGGTGATGGCGATGGCGATGGTGGTGATGGTGATGGCGATGGTGATGGTGGCGGTGGTGATGGCGATGGCGGTGATGGCGATGGCGGTGATGGTGGTGATGTCAATGGCGATGGCAATGGTGGCGATGGCGATGGTGGTGATGGCAATGGTGATGGTGGCGATGGCGATGGTGGTGATGGCGATGGCGATGGTGGTGATGGCGATGGCAATGGTGGTGATGGTGGTGATGGCAATGGCGATGGCAACGGTGGTGATGGCGGTGATGGTGATGGCGATGGTGATGGTGGTGATGGCGATGGTGGTGATGGCGATGGTGGCGATGGTGATGGTGGTGATGGCGATGGCAATTGTGGTGATGATGGTGATGGCGGTGATGGTGATGGCGATGGTGATGGTGGTGATGGCGATGGTGGTGATGGCGATGGTGGTGATGGCGATGGTGGCGATGGCGGCGGCGGCGGCGGCGGTGATGGTGTTGATAATGCTGCTGCTTTTACAGCGTGAGTAAACCTGGCCCAGTGTATGGACCCACCAAGGACCTTCCTCTGAAGCACTGGGCACACATTTCAGAAAGGAGCCTCCTTCTCATGTGCAGCTACAAACAGCATGTCCAGCAGATTAGGGCTGCCTAACCAATCTTGCAGCAGTCCCTGTGGACAGGTCTTAAGCAAGCTGAGGTCAGGACCGGGTGCCATGGGTGCTCCAGAGATCCAGCACAATGCTGTTTCCTGCAGGGGTTTAGACACAAGTGGGAAAGACATGCTTGGACTTGGGGAATATGAAGCCTCCGCGCTCCACAAGAGAAGAGGCCTCGTGAGCCTTCGCAAGAGCAGTGGCCCAGGGCGTGGGGGGCGAGGTGGAAGGCTGGGCGGAGGCAGTCGTTCTGGACAGGGCCCTGAGACTGATTGACTGAGCCGGAGGTGAGGGCGAGGCCGTGCCAGGAGAGGAGGGCTCCTGCATCTGGGACCACTGACAGGATCGTGATAGGAGGTGGCTGGGACAGGCCCCAAGAGGCAGGCGGTCGGGTTCTCCAGTAAATGCAGAGTGAGGCCCTGTGAGAAAGGGTTCCAGGCTGGCCCATCTTAGAGCCGGGGCTCAGAAAGCCTGCCTGCTCTCTGCGGCCCCGTTCCTCTCTGATGCCAGGCAGCCTCTGGCCTGTTTCTCCTGCTAGTCAAACTGATTTTGCAGGGAAACTCTATTTCGAAGTGAAAATTTCGTTACAACTTCAATTTATAACGCATCTGCTTGGGAGGTGCTGTGGCTGGCTGGGCTGGCGGTGTGGGCGGCTGCAGTGAGGGGACCATGCGGTCAGACGCCCCTTGGCAGAGCTCCAGGGCTCTGCTTCACACGGTCTGAGGCCTCGTGGCTCTGGCTGCCTGCAGTGGCCTTCACCCCAGCACCCTGGTCTGAGGTTCTGACTTCAGGGTATGAGCAGCAAAGGTTCCCGGGGAGGTGGTGTGTGCCAGGCTGGCAGTGTGGGTTCCTCGGTGGGGACCTGGTGTGTGCCAGGCTGGCAGTGTGGGTTCCTCGGTGGGGACCTGGTGTGTGCCAGGCTGGCAATGTGGGTTCTTTGGTGGGGTCGTGGTGTGTGCCAGGCTGGCAATGTGGGTTCCT